TTTTTTTTTTTTTTTTCCTTTCCTCTCGAACGAATCGCGGAGAGAGGCGCTGACCACGAAACGAGTATCGTTAGATAATGGGCGTTTAAAGCGCGAGCGAGACCGAATATAAGAGGAATGCAACTGCAAAAAATTCTTGCACGTTCCACGCAGGTCGTGCGACTGTGCCTCGATTACTTTCTTTCTCTAGTCGATAAATACAATCGTGTTATGCTTTTCCCCCCTCTCCGTTCCCGTCTTTTCGGAGACAAGCTAGAGATACTCTTAATCCCTGGAATTGAAAAAGACGACGGGGAACAAGATTTGCTTGGAAGGAAAATAGGAAAAACTTTCGCGTAATGGCGAGGAACATACTTGAATTGCAAATTTGGTCGGTTCCTGTTTGGCTAGAATCTCGAAGGGATTTCATTTCTAGCATGGTTCCTGGGTCCTTTAGCCATGTTTATTTAACGCTAAGAATTACTATATTTTCGTGCAACGAGTATGTTTTACTGTGTATCAGTAAAGTGTACGCTGATAGTTAATAATTGTGGTTTTAATAAATATCGACACTCGTTTCACTTCAGGGACAATTACACGCTTTTAGTAACTGCTCAGAGAGAACTCAATAATAGAATAACGTAGAAAGAAAAAGAAGAACAAACTACTAAACCGTGTTCTCTAACACTTTTCCCACACAACGAACAAATTATAAACGATAAATTAATTCAAAGAGTTTCAGTTCCAATGTTTCTAATTATATATTACGAGGCTGAGAACGGATCTTATTCGAATGCGCGTAATATGACAATTAAATCTCATAATTAATTTAATCTTCGGTAATCTACTGATTATTAAATACAGACGAATAAAGATTTATTTAGAAACATTCAGGGATTGAACGTAGATTGCACAAATCTACTTATTTAATTAATCCCTGAGAAACTGCAGGAACTCTTTCAGGAAATTTCAATCAGTCAAAATTAATTAGTTCGGCGAGAGAAAGACGATCTCTCAAATATTAAACCGCATTTCTAACTGAAATACAACGCGAAGAAGCAGCGTATTATACATATATATGTATATGTATATTAAAAAAAAAAAAATTTATCTTCGATTTTTCTGTCATGGCAGAAGATTGTGACGTGCAATCTCGATCGACTTTCTCTCGTTCTCGGATCGATTTTTATCATTCTGTTTAATCTAGAACGCGTACCAGCGAGCTACTTGCCCACGAAAGAGATCGAAATTAGGATTCCTCGGGTCTAATGGCACGCGAAGCAAAATGCTTGCATACCGGAGGCCGTTTTCCTGTTGGTAAACTATCGATCAATTTAGGACGTCGATACTGATCACGAAGTACGAAGAATGTTAGCTTCGGATGGAAAGTATTTAGAGGCATTAGTTTCTTTCGAACGGTGGCTATTTGCTAATGTCGAGCGAAATCTTGGAAAGAAGAATTTATTAGCCATCTGTTTCATCAGTCGAAGTGCTCTGCGTCGAATGAAAAGTTCAGACTTCCGTTTTAATAATTGGCCTTCCTTCCGATCGTTTCGGAACACACTCACGCACAAACACACTCACCTTTTCTTTTTCTTCTGTTAATGAAGGTCTATGTTAGTATACTCGAGGTCGATGACCTATCACCTTGTGAGACTGAAGAATATAAAGCTATCTCGATCTGCTTTCTCAGGCTTTGCTTGAAAAAAGAAATTCACTTTCAAGCAAACAATAGCAGCTTGAGACCTGCTTGATATGATGATAATTGATGCAAATTCATATTTTTGACATAATTAAAATGTGAAATGGGTGGAAAAATGGTTGAATATTTTCATAAACTTTTCAATGTCACTCGCAGTCTGTGGGATTTTACCATTTTAAGTATCATATAGATTTCTAAAAGTCCACGAACTAACGACGATTCAGCCCGTGCCCGAATATAAAAACAACAACAGCCAGAATCCGAATTTAAAAACGAATGTATTGACATATCGAAGCGAAATATTTAAACTGTAATTGATTCGCCGAAAGTAATCAGTAATCTGTCGGAATAAGAATCGTTTATATTTTTCTCTCTTTTTAATCGAATACGCTGCATGTTTGAAAAGAAATAGTTGAACGATCGAATTTCGTATGTGTAAGTCTCCGCATGCAAGTTTCCCGTGCAGAGCCATAGCACGAGCTCTTAAGTTCGGCAACTAGTTCACAATCCCATAATCCCTGCTTGGAGCTTAGCATTCTCGTGGTGACGTGCCAATCGCTATTGAAAAGCAGGGCAGAAACTCCTCTGTTCTCTTCTGTCCTAATTAGAATTTCGAGTTTTCCTGTCTGGAAGGAAAACTAAATTAAATTAAAGTACGAATACTCTCACATGTCGAGCAGCTATTGCTGCGTTTTCACACTGCGTGCTCGAGTTAAATCTCGACGTGGTTACTTGGTTGCTTGTGTACAAGAGAAATTATTTCCAGTTAGTTTTATACATTCCGTTCTGTTTCCCTTTTCCCAGCGTTTGTAGAAACGCGCATCGGCCCCCTCTGACTTATATACAGTCACATTTGGCACAATTATAAATTTTTTAAAACAGAGAAACAAGCGTTTTCCGACATTCTGTGGATTTTAATTAATTTGTTAGTCAACTTGTAAAGTGTGTTGATAAATTTGACCGAAACTCGTGTGGAAATTATTAATGTTATCGATGTATTATTTTTTTGTATTTTTATGTTTCAGGTAAGTGGACTGTCACGAAAGTTTTTCAAATTGCTGCCGTAAGTTGAAAACTTTTCATATTTACTTCTACGAATTAAAAGTCATTGAAAATCATAACGGATCGTGCTAAATATTGTACTTATTTTTCTAAAGTTGCAAAATTTATGATTAAATATTATTTATGATATAATCAAATTTCATTGATGTAACGACTTTGTGGAATGTTAATCAATTTTTCGTGTCTTGATATTGTTAACAGACTGCGGTTTTTCAATGAAAATTCGTGCTTTGAACATAATCAGAAAAATGAAAGAAATAAAAATATGTTTCTCGCAATTGCATAAAAATTGGCAGTCTAATCACCGACTGCAAGTCTCGTTTTATACATTTCAGCGCGTCAAAAAGTAGAAAAGAATCAAGCAAAAAGAATCAAAAAATAGTAAAGAAAGTAATTTTCGCATAATCTTTATTTAACTCCTCAGACAAATTCTTATTACTTCATCCATTGAGCATCCACCTCATTGTCGAATAAATAAACTTTGGCTTTTAATCGCTATGACGCATGTGATTTTAGTTCACATCGGTGCATAAGTAATTTCATTTCATTGTTACCAATTTGAATATGGTAATCATCGATTTCGCATGTCATTTCAATAAAATAATTCATCGTATTTAATCGATTCCTGATGTTTACCATCAGTTGCAACACGACATTGAACTCCCTTCGCGTTTTATCATAATAAATATCCACGGATCCCATTTTGGCATAGATTTGCGTAATTGGTAAATAAATAATAATAGTAAAATTCAAGCGATCGTATCATTGAAATCGTATCGATATCTCTTTCAAAAGCATTACGTCCGATTAAATTCGAGTGTACCTTTGTAGATTCCCGAATCAAAATACAATCCATTCGTGATTTTTGATTAGAATAGGCTTGTCACGATCGTACGTACGATTCAACGCTTCTTCTCGGCAGATCTCACGTATGCTTTATTGTAGAAATTGTAGAAAAGAATGAAATTTATAATTAGATTGGCTATCGAGAAGGTGCCTGGTATCCTCGTTACAGGGCAAGACGGGAGAATCGATTGCATGTTTTGTATCAATAAAACTACAAATTGCACCTGGTATAACACAAGAGACATGAGAAAATATTAAAATTCATCGAGCAGCTTGTTATTAAATATTTAATATTTACGTTGGAGCATATGAAACGTCGTCGAATGAATTTTTCAGCAAACTTTTGACCTCCTTTAAAGCGTTGCACGTTAAACTGCAGACTTTCGAAGAAAAATTTGTCAATTTCTTAGACTATAAATATCTCCGGAATCGATCTCGTTACTTCTTTTTCTTTTAGATATAATCCCAATTTTCTAAGTAATTTGCTAATTGAGAAATTGCCCCAGTGAAATAGAGAACATCTTTCAATAATAATGCAATAAATCTCATGAGCACCATTTCGAAATTTAAGCTCGTATAACAAGAGCAACATTATCATTAGTGCAAGCAGATAGTAAATCAATACTGTTATTATAAATTATATAAAATAATCATATAGTAGATAATTTTAATGCAAATATAAATAAATATTAATGTAAGTATCATGTACATGTGTTATATTGTGATAACGCAATGTTATTATTATTATTATTATTATTAAAAGTTTTCTAGAATATAAATTTCTTCTTGAAAAGTAACTGATGATCGGCGGCAAGGCAAAAAGTCAATGGTTAGTGTTAGTTTATCAGATTAAAGTTTAAAGTTTAAAGTAGATTCAAACTTTAATGAAACGATGTTCCATATGCATCAACCGAATGTTTACTCATTTGCACTTACCATTTGCATGATGGTCAATATTGGTTTATACTTGGCCAATACACTCTGAAACTTGGGCCCAAACGTGCTAAGGAAATAATAGGTGTACATGATCACGTGTATACCACAGTTTACCATCATACTGAACGAACACATCGCTAGTGGAACGTATTTCGTGCAAAGCCAAGATATTAGGATCGAAGACACATGATGATACAGGTGCAGAAATGAAATTTGTTTGTCTTTCTTCCTGAGCATGAACACGATCGTCTCCACGAGATCGATTAATTTTAGCATCGTTACCAACCACATTGTATAACTTATCTGCCGTAACAAGAAAATCGAGGAATAATTACATCGTGGGTGTTTGCAAGATGCAAAATATTTTGTAGGATGCACGCGATTCGTGCCTAAAGTTTAATAAAATATTCACGCGTTCATGATATTTGACATAAAAATATTTAGTAATATTTATTAATATTATTTTGATTACTATTAAATTGTATCACTGAGTCTTCTTTCTTTCATCAGATAAAATTGATAAATAATTTTCTATGAAATGTATGAAGCTCACGTGCTTTATATATTGGATTATCAACAACCTCTCACATCTTTTCCATTTTGATTTCTCTAACGCCGAAGTTTTATATTCCATGATCATCAATGATCGGAATGTAAATGTGCATAAAAATTTCCGCATTTTTATTGATAAGAAGATGAAAGTGTACCTTGAGAGGACTCGGGTTGTACGAATAATCCGGTATTTCGCAGTACATGGTTATTTCGGTGAACCAGCCTGCACTGATGAACTGTTGCACCATGTACGCATTGGCGGTAATTTGAAAGACGTTGTAGCATCTCACGAAAGTTTTCAAGTTGTACGGTTTCCTAGATCTCATGAATTCAGGGCCATATTTTAAGACGAAGTACAAGTATAAAAGTAGAATGGAAGGAATGATAATTGGTGATGCGACAAACGGCAGACCATTTGTTCTTGGATCTAGAAATTCAGAATAGTACCTGTTTCGTAAGAAGCGTAGATCTGTAGGTCTTTAATTCGGTGTAATTTTGTGCTTTTCTGTTACTCACCGGCATTCTGATTCCAATAAAAGTCGTAGACATCGACTAATTTCATTTCTGACATTTTCTTTAGCTTTTCTTTTGATACGTCTAACATACGCGAATCATTCCCGAATTTTGAATATCGTGTACCTAATAGCACAATCACACTTCTCGCGCTTGTAATGTAACTTCTTACGCCGATTGATGTTAACTGTTCGACGGTCGTCGTGAATGGATGGTTTTATAAGTATAAGTAATGTATGTGTAACACTACTGCTTCCTGCAAAAACATGCTTATTCATATGTATATCGACGCGTTAAATCACACGTATAGGTAATAAAATACGTCTATCCTCATGTCAGTAGAGATCAAAAGGTTAGCATTCAAGGTATCATTTCTTAGAACAAGCAGTGACAAAATGGAATAATATTTCCATAAAATTTTCGTAATATAATATAATATTCCGTGAAATGAATCGTTGGTTGAAATTTTGATCGCTAGGACGGGAACATTATAGACAGAAATTATCAATAATCTATAAGATTACTTTAGATAAGGAATATAAAAAATGTCATCACTTTTTCCCGGAACCGACCTTCCCGTAAATTTCATACGAAGTTTAGTAATTAATATTAAAATTGCTCATTTAAATTTTTTATAAATTATTCATGAAACGTTTAAAATTCTTGTTTTCCTTTGGCTAACGTTGAATACGTAAACTATTATATAAACTTTCGTCTTACTGACTGTATAATTGCATTTTCGGCAAATACTGCCTATGTGTTTAATTCAGTTTCTTTGAATTCAGTCTTTTTTTCTTTTAAAATGCATCCAGAATAAAAGAAAAATAAAACGGTGGACTTTCAATCCATTTCCTCGATTAATGTATTATTCGTGTTTCATTAAGACTTAATGAGTTATTTAACGATATAAATCGGTTACGTACGAACGTTTCTTGGAAACTCGATAGAGAGAGCCAATGGATTGCGTGGGGAAGGAGGGGGCAGGGGGAGCTTTCGGCGAAGAAATAATCGAAAAGTTAGTTGGAGTTGGCGAAACTCTCTAGAGAACATATTAAGTATCGCTGATTAAGATGGCTCGATCGAAACGGTCAGAAGGGAATCGATTCGACTACTGCGGTTTCCTCGTGCAGTCTCTTAAGATCGAAGAAACCCTCCAAACGATAATGAAAAAAGTTCGGCATCGACTTGGCTCCGTCTCTTCCGTTTGCAAGTCGATGCAGATGCGTATCGATATTTTTGCTTCGTATATCTTGCAATAATCTTCGGTCGAGACTAAACATTTTTCCATGGAAGTTCGCGACTCGATCGTCGAACGTGCCGTGTTGTCTGTCGGACTTGGGTCGCTGAGGGAGCGTCAAGGCGCAACAGCAAATCCAAACTTGTGTTTCTTCACTCGTTGAATTTTCGATGCTGAAACATCGAAAGTTCATATCGGGATTCTATCTTTTGACGAGGTTACCACGCTTCCTCCTTTGATCTTTCCAACTTCAACATTTCCAATATTCGATCTGAGCTTTGTCTCGAGCGTGATGCTACTTTGGCCTGCAGAAGGAAGTTGCGAGATGTCGCGAGCTTAAAAGCAACGTGAACGGCGCAGTATACGAGATTATCAGTGTCTCTCTCGATGATCCTAATTTGTCGAAATTAATTCGTTTCAACTTTCCTTTCCTACAGATTTAAACTCTACGCACAATTCGTACTTTGCCCTCGATATTCATTCGCAAGAGGATCCCTCCCCGTAGCATCGAACGAAAATAATGAATTTGAAACTATAATGCGATTCAAATTTAAAACTAAATGCCGTGAATCGAAATATTTAGGATAGAAATTGATAGAGCGATCAGTTTACCAAGCGTTGCTAGTCAGATCTTGTCAAAATCGGCAAGGCTGTTCTGTCAGTTCGAGACTCGATACTCGAGCGTGTCTTCGCGAGGCCCCCGCGAATTTTCAAACAGCGAAAGTCAACACACTGTCAAGAGATCACTCTGTCACTCGCGTTCCTTTGATCTTCCAAGCCTCTTCGAAACTTCGCGATTCGATCGGAGCCCTGTCCTCGAAGACCTCGATGCAACTTCGTCGGCCTGCGTGCGAAAGTTGCAGGTGAATCGCGAGCCTCGGTCGAAAGTTAAAAACAGGCCAGGCCAGGTCAGGCGATGAAGTGGCAATCGAAGCAGTAGCGATAGCTGGCCATGTTCCGAGGCCATGAAGTTGGTAGAGGGATGTATTAAGCATCGCTAATCGAGGTAGTTTAGTCGACGAGGATGCTGGCTGGGAGTAGAGTGGTAATGTCGGCGGCAGGGGTTGCACGGGGGACGCCAGGGCGGCGGGGGAAGAGCATTAGCTGCCCTCTCCACCCTTCTCCTCCTCGCCCCCGGAGCTTCTCGCTAAGTGCTGCAATTTATTTTATTACTCTGCGCGCGTCTACGTTTGGAAACCTTTGGTCGACGCTTCCATTCACGGCGAAAACACCCGATAGGTCGCGGGAAACGTAATTTACACCCGAGAGCTGCTGCGGAGAGTCGCGGTGCAAGCCGCGCCGAAGAGAGAGAGAGAGAGAGAGAGAAAGAGGGAAGAAAATGTATCGACGGCGGCGAAAACAGAGGGTCGTTCCGTTCGGTTGTTGTTGACACTTCGTTTCTGTCGACGCGTTTCAGCCTTCTTCTCTTTTCGCCCGCAGTCTGATCTGATTTTCCTTTCGATTGTTTCTTGATTTACAGCGCCGAGATTCGCTGGCTATGGAACGTGCTCGCTCGCGCAGCAGATTTTTGCGAATATATTACGAATATATACGTGTGAGCCCGCCGCGTGACGGCCAAGGGATCTGTTTAAAACAGCAAAAGGGGGTTTGCGCGTGGCAGAAACAGGAGCAAGCTGCTCGAAGGAAAATGCTAGTGTGCACGACCGCCGAGCAATTGGACTACAATTCGTTGTAGGATTATCGTATTGCCCCGTGACACGTGAAATAATTCCGCACGGTTAATATGATATAAATCCGGCCCGGTGGTTGGTGTTTCCCCGCTCATGAGGTAGACTTAAACGCGACTAAACACGCTCCGAGCACGCTGTTTAAACACGGCGCAGTTTGTTCGATGTTTAAACGCATCGGCAAGCTTTACAGAATAATTCTCACCCCGCGTATTTATGGCCGCGTAATATTTCACACCGATCCGATTGGCCCAGACCTCTGTTGCCTCGCTTTGTTGCCCCCTAGAAATTCTTCTTTATTATCGTTTTCAATTCAGATTTTTAGAAATTTCACGTCTAAGGTAGAGTTTTGGAATTTTACGTGGAATCGGTGCTGATAAGAAGTTCGATGATACGAGTGGACCTTCTTCTTTGTAAAACAGATTATGTATACCGTAATATTTCACATTCACTATTGATATAAATATTTTATTATTTAATTATTTAAATTGCGTTGTTACACTGACAAAAGAGGTTTGTCGGATCTTTGTGAGTACATATAATTAATTCCGTAGGTTGAAATGCACGAGTTCGATTTATTATAATAATTAATAGATGAAACAAATTTCCACTCGTGTCATCTCTTTAAAATATTACGTAGATACCTGCGGTTTAACCATTGTTTGTGACGAAGAAACTTGTCGAAGTAACTCACATATTTGTTCCTCGGGAATAGAATATTAATCGCGTACTTACAATTTAGTTACTCTACTTAGTTGATCAGTTTGGTTTCTGAGAGGCTTATATAACTGCGTGTTTTCTCGCCGAAAAGTTTATCTAGTTACCTAGAATCTCCTTGCATTATAGATTTTATCACTTTTATTCTAACCCCTCGGTTATTAATACTCGAAATTTACTTTCAAGTCATTCGTATTGTTACATTTGAATATTATAATTCTGTATATTTTAATATTTAGTTTTATATTTAGTTAACCTCTTGCCATATTTCTGGTATGAATTATCACTGTTAGTTTCGATTTGACAGAAGAACCCAGTTGCACTTCTGTGCAACTTGTGTACAAAATTTAAATTTCGATTTGTCAAGTTGAAGTGTCAATAAATATAAATCTTACGTAACGTTTCGATGCAATAAATTGCAATAGCTTAGTTTCGAGAGAGAATTGTAGTACAAAGGATTAAATATACCTAAATAGTATCTTTATCAAATATAATGAACACAATGTTGAAACGTTATCTCGAAATAATATCGCAAGTCTCTTCAAACATATTTGTCCCGTTATTACTATTAATATTCTATTACGCTGGAATTTCGTTCCGTACATTCAAGATTCCGATTGTTTTAGTACGTAACTCCATTCCTGCTTCTCGCATTCGCACAAAACGAGGGTAATAACTATTTGGAACGCAACGCAGCAAATTAG